CGCTGTTGTCGCCCTGTTGATGACATCAGCGGCGCAGTTTAGTCGGGCGCAGTTTAGTCGGGCGCGGTTTTGTGGGTGAACCGTTTCTTTCAGATCAACTAATTGATTTTCCATGTTTTCGTTTCCTTCTAAATTTCTATCAACGTCTAGAAAATTAAAGTTAATTAAGAAAATTAAATTTAAATATTTTTTTAAGTCTTAATTTTTTAAAAGTATCCTTAGGCCTGCCTATTACCTTGATACAATCATTACTATTCCTGTTGACAATAAGAAGTTTTACATTCAGTGGAACTGACCTTTCATTTTTTTCCAGGGCTATGCCTATGAAAATGTATTATTGACCTTTTCTCAGCATACAATGTTTGTGAATATTATGATTTGACTTGAGTACTATTAGCAGCATCTTACCATGTTCTTTCCCATTACAAACATTGGTTATGCCATTTTCTACCACACCTTCTCCATCAGAACTTGGTCTTTCTAAGGACAGCTTCTGGATGGAAAAAAGAATTATCAATATAGTTACACTGGAAATAATCTGTTGTGAATCAAATGACAAAACATCTACCATGAGGAAAACACAATACATCCAAGAATTATTTCATCAGGAATTATGATTTTTACCATTCAAGTGTTACATCTTATGTGTAACATAATGCTGAGCCTCACAATGTTCACAGGGAATAGCGGGTGAAGGCTATAATAACTTCTTGACATTTTGTTGTTATTGTAACTTTAAAGGCATTATTAAAAAGCATTTATTGCTATCACTATAATAGAGAATAACGAAATTATACACAGGCACAGAAATTAGCAAAATTGATAAATCTTAATTTCTAATCGTGACAATGAAATTTAGCATTTTACTTTAAATGTTATAGAAACTAGTGACATTTGATTTATTGGTCATATCTGCACATCACTTGAATCTACAGCTCATACTTTATTAAGGCACAGTGTATATATAATCTGAGGAGACACCAGAGGAGAATGTATATTTATGGGCCACACCATAAAATCTACTTTGTAATTAGTTTACAATATTGCCTTGCTTAAATACTAAAACAAATAAACAAACCACAATCCCAACTTCACTCCTGCTAAATTTGTTTGGCTACTCACATGAACAGAAGACTAAAGCAAATAGGAATGGACTGCATGAACCAACACTATTGTTCATCTCCTTGGAGATTTAATAATTCAGGACTCCTGGCTCAAAATGATTTCTGAACCTGAAGCATACTGCATTTTGTTTTGTTTTGTTGCAATTTAATTACCTTTTCCAGATCAGCCTTATACACAGAATTAGATGATGGTCCATCTGAATCTACTGTGCCAACATAGGTGCTGCAAACTTCCTTTATTACCTTTAAAAATGGGAGGGAAAAGTTCATTGATATCTTGCTTCAAACAAAAAAAACTTATAAAAGCTTATACTGAAACAGAAAAGGTAGTACTAAAAAAGAAGTGAGTAATTACAATCTTGATAATTAGACAATGAGAATTTTCTAGAGTAGCAAACCATAAAGTATATTATAAATATTTGCCATTTACTCAGTTAGCATCTTATACATGACATGAAGAAGGCATTAAAACTACAGATAAAAGGTTTAGTTACAGATCTGAAGCTTCTCATGCTGGACAAAGGAATTCTTATAAAATATGACCCTAGTCCTTCCTTCTGTTTCTTATTAGATTTAACATTCCTTCTTTTCATCTCCTACTTACAGCCAATTCTTCCTCTTTTATCTACATATGTACCTAGAAAAATGCTAGGCAGCTTAAATTCAAATTGAACTTTTCAACTCAAGTTTAAACTGAAAAGAGGTTACTCTTGGTATTTTAATTTTGTGACTTTGTCTATGTTTTCTTTTTATTGACATGTACAGACAGTCCTTGACTTATGACATTTCCATTGTTAAGTGAGATATTTGTTAAGTGAGCTTTGCCTCATTTTATGACCTTTCTTGCCCCAATTGTTAAGTGAATCACTGTAGTTATTAAGTTAGTAACACGCTTGTAAATTGAATCTGGCTTCCCCACTGACTTTGCTGGTCAGAAGATAAAATATAGGACCCTGGAACACTGCAACAGTCATGAATGAAAGTCAGCTGTCAAGCATCTGAATTTTGATCATGGGATACTGTAATGGTTGTAAGTTTGAAAAACAGTCTTAGGTTACTTTTCTCAGTGCTATTATTACTTCGAAAGGTCACTAAGCAAAATGTTGTAAGTCAAGGACTACCTGTATAAATCTTACACACATACAGTTCCACTCACATACTTATATCAAGTAACAATATAATGGAGCTTAAATATAAATATTTATTTATTTGTTTGCTTCACTTTATTTGCTACACCTTCCCGCTGTGCGGCTCTCTGGGCAGCTTACAACAATAAAAACCGAAAAATAATGATTAATAAATGTAAATGTAACAATAGCAAAGCAATGAAACAATAAAAATAAACAATGGAAGTATTAATGTGAATTAAAAGATGGGCAAAAGTAACTTAGCTTAAGACTGAAACATTTATTAAATAACAAATACATTGATGATGTCAAAGTGTGCTCTTTTATCCTTTCCTTTTCAATGTTAAATTTAACTTTGTCTGAAATAAATCCTATTATAATCAATGTTATACTGCTTATAACACTGATATCCTAGATTGTAATGAATATGGATAGAATATGTATTTTTATTTTCTTCTTTACGTACACTATCGTAAGTAGCAGAATACTAAGAATTTAATTTTACTATGCAAATATTGTATTTGAAAAAAAAAGAGATAGCATATTTCCTGTTATTTTACTTGTAACTGATCTCACTGATGGATGAACTGCTTCCTCTCGGACAATGAGATGCTACTGAAAATCACTGTACAGTGATTAACAACCCTAACTGGAACCATCATTTCCATATATCCAGTTTTATTTAACTTCCACTGTAAGCAATCTAACATATAACCACTATTAACAAATGTAGCAAATCTTAGCGCAAAGCTGAGCCGCAATGAGAGTTCTTTAAGGGCTAACAGCAGCAAGTTACTTCACACAAAATTCTCCGGGTCTACCACAGACATTTACTGAAAGGCAGTAAATTCTTAAGATGACCCCTTTATAACACAAACATTATAATGCAGGTAATGCTATCCCCATCTCCCCCCCCCCTGCATTGACTGCATAAACACTCTGAGTAAGTGTTTGAGATGCAGTGAAATCTGTTTTCAAATATAACTGATGGTAGTTGTCGAAGAAAAAACCTTTACCCTTCTCCTCAAAAGGATTAGTTAATCCTCCAGCATGTGCCTAATGTTGTTGCCTCCAAAGTTACGTTTCAAAATTCTTTTGAAAATTGCTATCACACACCTACTGTGGGAATTCTATAAGCACTACTAATTCTGGGGGAAAAAAGCAAAAAGCTTCCTCTTCCAGACCCTCTTTTGAGATATTTGAACATTAGAACAAAAAATGCATGTTCCAAGGGATTTGTTTGAGGCATGGAAGAAAATATGCTGTTCTACTGCTTAAGCAGAATAATATGCTTACACCTAACTTCTAAGTTACAATTCTTGGACAAGACCACAGCTGTTGGACTATTAATAAGATAAAACGCGTAATTCCTACAAACCCAAAATATTTTTGTTATTTATTTTATTACAGAATTTGACTGTAACATTTAAGTTGCTTCTTCCTGTTTTTCCTTTCTCAAAAAACATCCTAACCTAACCTGTTCATTTTCTCCAGTATAAACTAAAAAAAAATCTGCTGTAGCTTTAATACATTAAACAGCATATCTATATGGATTTTAAAAAAGCTGACGTGATTTATATTACAATTTAAGGATCCCTTTTAGTTGTGCAAATATTTCTGTATTCTGTATTTTTGCTTCTGCCTCTTCAATGACCCTTAGGATATTGCTCATGTTTTTAGCATCTGTTTATCCCAGAGGCAATTCGATTTGGCTACACAAAATATAGAAGTCAGAGAGAGGACAAAGAGAACAATTTGGCCATGAGCTGTGCCTATGAAATCATGCATTCTTTCAAAAGATAGATTTCATCATTCCAGCAAGACAGAACTCAGGCCCCTCACTGTTATCAAGGAAGCGGATTTTCATTCCAAACTGTTTGCTGCATAATTAAGAACTAGGGGTGTTTTAACAGAGCAAGGAGACATATGTGTCTGCTGCCAGTCTATCCTTCTGTTCACTACCTGAAGAGAAAGTTAAGAGGTTTGCAAACTGTCAAATTAAACACAAGAATAAAGACATTAATTTTCTAAAAGAAGTATTATTCTACCAGTAGCTGTATAGCACTAGTTTCCTACTGAATCCCACCCCAGTTTGAGCGTCAAATGCCTATAGAACTTGAATTCTGCAGAACTTTGTGGCTACTTTTTCAGGATATTATACTATTATCCTTAAGTATGATTTAAATTAGATTTTATTTTGACTGCTGGGTGGCCGAAAGGGACGAAAAGAGTATCTCTAGAGTTGCTTCACCCACAGTTGTGAAATTTTCTTCTTTGTTTGGGAGAGGTTTCAGTTTAGAATGTTTTCTAGATGAACCTTATTTGGACTAATTTCTAAAAAGATGAATTAAGGCAGAATAATATAATTCTGTAATGGATATCTTCTTCTTTTTTCCCCTGTATGTTTATTTCCCTCCCAACAATACAAAATTGGCAATCAATCAAAACAAATATATAATATGTTGGGGTGAAAAAATTTGCTCTGGGGATTAACTTTTTTTTAGAAGATAACTTGGTTATCTGCATGCAAGTCTCCTGCTGTGCTTTTTCATAATCTCTGCAAGGCACACATAAGGTGAGCTTGCCATGGATGCCTGTAGTGTAGACAGTTATAGATAAGTGTTGTACCCAGCAGGAGCCGTTGGAGCTGCCACCAGACTCCGACAACGAGGGGCCCTATGAGTCGGCTCTGGAGGATGTGGAGGACCCTGGACAGGGTTCCGCCTCCGAGCAGGGCGCAGAGAGGCTGGTTGGCCACCAGGAGGTGCCTGAGCTTTGGAGCAGTGGAGAGGAGACAAGGCAGTGTGATCCTGACGTCATGCATTGGAGCAGTGGGAAGGAGACAAGGGAGTTGG